GGGGGGGGGCGGAGGGTAAAAAACAAAAAACGAAGAAAAGCAAAATAAAACAATTGAAATTGAAAATGACATATTGTTCTTAATCATTTAAATCATCCGATTACTAATAAATATTTCAAATATAATAATTGATGAACAATTGCTAATAATTTATATCAAATAATTAATACAATTTATCGGATATTTTCGATTTTTGCCTTTAAGTAATAATAAATTCTTTAAATTAAACGGCTTAATTAAAATTTCTTTTTTTTCGCTTTAAATAATCAACTTTAATTTAATTGTTTATTATTTAATAATTTTCGCCTTTCTCTCTTTTTTTCATTAATTTCTTCCTTTCATTGCATACGTATTTTGGAGAGAAAAAAAAGCAATGAAAATTTGTGTTATTTTTATTGTTTTCAAAATAAGAAAAAAAAGCCGTTGAAAGAGGTAAAATTATAAACAGTTCAAAAAGAATGTAATGGGAGAGAAAGCAGGGGGTAAAGAAAAAATGCAAAATTAAAATTCATTTAAATACAAACAACCCATGGAAAAAAAAAAACAGTAATTTCTTTCATAAACACATACACACACACACGAGCACACATGCACATAACACACACACACACACACACACACACACACACACACACACACACACACACACACACACACATATACATACATACACACACACACACACATGCATCTACAAATGGTTAAATGAATTGAATAAATTTAAATGAAGAATGTACCGTTTTTTTTTTGTTTAGTAAGGAAAAAAAAATTTTTTAAATTTGTTAGTATTCTTTCCATTTTCTTTTTTCCTCTCTTTTTCAATTCAGAAAAAAGAAAATGAAAGGAAGAGAAAAAAATTTTTTTTTGAAGAAAAGATACCCATGCTGCCGTCTCCCTCAAACAACCAATTTTATTCTATAACTATCAGCTTTTTTTTTTAAAATGATCATTTTCGTTTTTTTTATTTTTTGTTTTTGAATAATAAAGTTGAAAATGAATAATTTTGAGGAATAACAATTAATTGAATTTAATTTGGAAAAAAATAAGAGAAAAAACTGCAAATACAGCTTAAAAGAAACTTTTTTTCTGTTTTAAACAAAAATTTTAATTCGAGAAATCAATTAACGTTTTTGCTTAAATATGAAAAAAAACCTATTTATCACATTATTCTTTCTGTTTTTTTAAATCTAAAAATCTATCACAAGCTTGTCGAAAAAGATTTTTTTTTCAAATTGCATAATTTTTTGAACAAAAAGTTCAGTAGAAATTTCTTTGTTTTTACAAGCAAAATAGTTGAAAAATTAGGGCTAGAAAATTTGGAGCAAAAAAAAAGATGGCCAAAGAAATTCACTCATTTAATAGAAAAATGAGATTTTTTGGGGAGAAAAAATCCATTTTCCAGGAAAAAAATCAGTTGGTAAATCGATTCATAAGTATTACATATTGCAGATAATTTGTTCCTATTTCCTTTGTTATGCAAAATTAATTAGTAAATTAATCATGGCAATTGCAATACATGTAGTAATCATAAATAGACGAGTGACTTTTTTTATTAATTAAAAAAAGTATTTTTCAGTTATTTATATTTTTTCCGATCTTTTTGAAATATTATTTATAAGCATTATGATCTATGGATTTTTTATTTTTTTTTAGATCAACGAATAAACAATTGAAACAAAAAAAAAAGGTAAAAGAGAAAATTTTGTATTTAAACAAAAAACGATTGAATAAATAAAAAATAACTGAATTTAAAAAGTGAAGAGAAATAGAAGGATAAAAATTTATCGTAATTTTTGCATACATTTGAGATGAGATGAGAAGGGGAAAAAGGGAAAAGGGAGAGAGAGAGAGAGAGAGAGAGAGAGAGAGAGAGAGAGAGAGAGAGAGAGGGAGGAGATGAAAAATTAAAAAGAGGAAAAAAGCGGGAAGAAGGAGGGAAAAGTTGAAATTTTCAGATTTCCGTGCTAGATACTAATCTAATCTTTAAACGACTACTTTTCCACTTTGAGAGATAGCTTTAAATACGATAACAATTGCGCAAAATGGTATAAAAATTCCAATAAATCAATCGTCAAATTTTATGGATGAATTTTTAGAAGATGAAAATTTGGAAATAACAAAATAATTCTAAGAAAAAAATTGAAGCAATTAGTAAAACTAAATTAATGCTTGATTTAATTCAAATGATAATAACAATGCATATTTATTTGAGGAAAAAAAAATACATAAATGGATCGATTGATCAATGGCTAGATAGATCGACGAATTTAATGGGAAAAAAAAAGAAATGAAAGAGAAGAATGGATTTCAAGAAAAAAAAAAGAGTAGTAGTTGGAATAATTGTGAAGAAATGAGTTTAGTTTGGTACGAGATGGTATCATCCGAAAACTGACAAATATTTTAGAATTTTTGGCGCGTACCAAAATCATTATCAGTTATAAATGACAGATGTCAAATGAAAAAAAGAAAAGAAGAAAATGAGCTAAAACGAATTTAAAAAATTTTTACTATAATTTTGAAACTTTTTTTTCAATTGTAAGTTTCGAAAATTTTAACACTTCGTTTTTTCATTCACTTCTTCCCCTTACTTCAACAGTCGAAAAGCATTAAAAAATAAAGAAAAAAAATAAAAATGCTGCATGTGCGAATTATTTATGCATATAGTTTATTTATTACATTAAAATGTTATAAAAGTTTTGCGAAAATTTTGCTTGAAAAAGCTAACTGAAATGATAATATTTTAAGATGAAATAAAATTAGAACGAAATTGAAAAAAATTAAAATAAAAAAGCA